CGTGTGGCCATCTTCTTTTGTAACGTGTTACGAGCAGTCATTTTCTCGAGTCCGTTATAGACAAAAGATTCATAAAGAAAAAAAAAAAAAAGAATTTCAGAGATAATAAATTAAAACCTCTTCTTCCATAGAGGCCTTGGTTTTCTCCATGCCAGTCTTCGATGAGGCTGCAACATTTGCAGCTATTTCTTTAGCAGATTGCATTTTCAATTCTTTCAAATATGAACTTCTTTAATCTCTTTTGCTTTTCCCCTCTTTCTTAATTTCTGTGGGTTAAATTAGTTTTGAAATGGAATAAATGGAGGGAAGTATTACATACCAGGTAGACACGAGAAAAATTTTTGATGACACGTTTCTAACAGGTGTCCACTGTTGGATCAACAAGATTTTCAAATTGGGCTCAAAACTTCACACGCACAATGCCCAGCCTATGTTTCCTTAGAGCTCGGCCCAAAATAAACAGACCAAATAATCGGTCTCTGTCTGAATGTTTGAATTCAATTGGCACTTTTCAAATTTCAACAACTTGCACTAGAAATAAAAAATCAAAAAAATCAAAATATATTTTTTTTCTGTTAAAGCATTTATTTTTATAGTTGATGAAATAAAAAAAAAAAAAAAAGAATTCATGAAAAAGTGAGATTTGGATTGAAAGAAGTAATTTTTGGGAGTGTCCGTTTTTGAAGAATTTTGTTTTTGTTTTTTTGGTTTTTGTTTTTGTTTTTTTTGTTTTTGTTTTTGATGGGGAAACAACCCAATGAGTTTCGACCAAGTTTCACCGTCCAAAAACGTGTTTTTCAATTTTTTTTAAATAAATTTAGTAATTTTAATTAGATTAGAATTTTAATTCCTTTTAAAGTTAGTCATTATTTGGAAATAGTCATTATTTAGGTTTTTAATTATTATTATCTAAATTTCTATATAATGCTGTAAATATGAGTTATGAGCCTTCATGACATTTAGTTGAATTTGAATTTAATAAAGAGTTTTGAGAAGTTTTTAAAAATTAGTCTCTCTTTTTTGATATTTGATGTTTCAAATCAATAAGTTTGAGGTCTTGTGAGATTTTTTTCCCTATAAGTTTTCGCTACATCAAAAACTTAACTTATCATAGAGGGTTATACGTCTATAATTTAAAGAAAAATGTTTGTTCTATATCACCATTGGCAAATTCTTTTACAAATTGATGAGGTAGCAATAAATTGAATTAAAACTGTCAAAATATTTTCACCACTTAAACTGTTGTGCTTATGTATAGTTTAATGGCAAAAAGAAAGAGGATTTTTTTTTTTAATAATTTGGTTGGTGAGATTTTGACTGGATCAAATCTTCTCACATCATCTGCTGATAAGCTTAATCGATAAGTTGTAATATAAATATAGCAAATTGTAATTTAAAATTTTAAATATTGTCTTCGACATATTTCTTCATATGTAGGTGAAGTTTATTCATCTTCTTCAAAGTCTAATACGCAAACAATTTCATTAAATTAAAACTTGAATTTATAATTTCATTTTTGCTCGAATTAAACGCCCTGTTTTGACAAGTCCTACGTTGCCCTGTCCAAGAAGATTTGTCCATTAAACTATTCAATTTAAAAAAAAAAAAAAAAAAGGTTGAATCCCAATTTTGAGGGCTCTCTCCGTTCCATCCTTAAAATTTTGTGAGAGAGGTAAATCGCGAAATATGTCTCAATAGGTCATGAAATAAAAGTTACCTATATACTGCGTCCATTAAACTATTCAATTTAAATTAGGACAGGTTGGTCCTGTCGGAGAAGATCTGTCCATTCAACTATTCAATTTATTTAAGAACTTAAAAATTCGATAAGATTTAAAGTTTCGGGAAATGTGTCATGTATGGCCTTCCATTACGTACAAATGTACATGTCAGTGTTAACAACGAATAATAAATAGAAGGGAATCTACAAGATCATAAAAGTCGTTAAAATAGAGTCATTACAGAAGGAAATTGAGTGCCAACAACTATTGAAAGCTCCTCGATTGTTTCACCAGACAAACAACCACACCACTGTGACGTGTCGGGCTTCTCGACACAAACACAACACAAGGAGTGCACGTGACTTACAAGATATTTTCGTGCTATACGAAACGATCACAGCAGCTAAAGTCACACGACAAATCACACCCGTCAGATTCAGGGCTACTGCAAATCTCTTCACGTTCTAAAAGACAGATGCGTCTTACCAAATAATAGATTGTTTAATACAAAAGCTGTTATGCTTTTCATATTATTTTATGTTTACACTTTTCAATTAATAAAATTTTAAGCTTGTTAATATTCTTAATGATTTAAACTTCTTTAATATGGGGTGTTTGGGAACCATTAATTTTGGTCAAAATTTAATTATTGAACCGTTGGCAATTATTTATCTGACACCCCATGTGAATTACACAGAGAAAATTGCCGTATCTTTTCCATAAACTGCCATTTTCAATAGGTTTAAGGCACAATTTGAATTGTTTTTATTTTTGATAAGTACATAGGGTAAAGTTGAAATTTTATGCCATTTGAATTGAAATAACAATAAACAATAGTGTGCAGATCCCACGTTGACGTGACGGAAAAAATGCTTTTTGTATAAAAATAAAACTCAAATGGGGGCTATATTTATAGTTTAATACAAATTTAGGCAGCCAGATTTGCAATAAAATTAAGTGACTAATTTTTAATTATAAATATTAGTTATTTTTAATAAAATTGATTCATAAACTGTTTTTTGCAAATAAAATGTTTATGGAAAGTGATCTTTTGAAGAGTATAGTTAAAAAAAAAAAATATTAAAAAAAGTTATGGACTCACGTGTATAATTATTTTATTAAAATATAATTGTTAATTTAATAATTTAATTTAACTTTTTATTTTAAAAACAAAAGAGTTGCCCCAAAGAAAGAACAATCTTGCCATACGTGCATTCCAGTTGGTATTTTGCTTTAAACGGTACCATGTGAGTTGGGACATTGAATTTTTTCAACAATTAAAACAATTAATGACTCCAATTTTATCATAAATTCAAATTCTAAATTGTAGACACATGTACAACTAACATAATTTAAGGAAGATTAATGCTTTTCAGTAATTTGACGTGACATCCCATGTGACGATTTATGATTTAACGTATTAATATGATACTTTTCTCTTACCCCATAAATCAAAGGAATTTGCTACAGTTACCCAGAGTGTTACGGTAATACTTCGGGTTACACTCAAGGTACAAATATATCATATGTGAGAGGCGGATGACTCGGGAGTGTAACACTCTAAGTACAAATAGCAAAATCCTAAATCAAATCACGAGTCGTAATATTTATGTCATGGAAAACGATTGCAATAGTTTGCGGCTACAAAAATATAATTATTGTTCAAAAAAAAAAACCCGTGTGGCCCCACCAAAAGCATTTATTTTGGTAGAGGGCCCTGGAGAAAAGCTTATATAGGATCGTTGTTCGCTCAAGAAGCCTATTCCAAAGGGGCCGGCAACCGAACGACTGGCCTAAACGCACCATTCGTGCCCGATCAAGTAGAGGAGGCGTTTATTGTGAGAGAGAAGAGAGGAAAATTTTCCTAACAGGTATTCTTTTTTCAATCGAACACATACAGATTTTGCATGTCTGTTTGGTTTTTTGTGTGCGTGTTGAGTTTATGTATGTACAGGTATACGTTTTATTTATTGTGGATTGCTGATGAGACTAGATCTTGATGCGTATTGAGGTTTGAATTCAGTGCATCTGGATTTAATTCAGAGTATTTAGATAAAATAATTTTACCTTACGAAAAAAGCAAATCAGTGCTTTTCTTTATATTCTGGCGTTATAATTTTGCAATGTACCTTGATTACTTGAACCTTGGGAGATGCCAAACTCCGATTTCGATAGCTTTACAGTTTGTTTCCGCATGTTCTGTTTCATTGCCAAAGAGAAGGAGGAGATTGAGAGAACCCTTTCTTTCTCTCTCTCTCTCTTTTTTTTTTTTAATGTGACGTCGTAGTGTGTGAGAATTTTCTCCATTTTGGATTATAATTTCCTAAAAAATGAAATTCCATGGTTATTTTTTTCGATTTTGAATCTGATTTCAACTTTTTTATTTCTACAAGATTTAGATATGCCCAAGATTCTCTTCATTTATCTATAGCTTTATTTGAAGCTTTATTGTTTATTTATTTTTATTATAGATAACTCACATCTAAATTATCTTTGTGAATATAAATACTGTAAAAAAAAGAAAAAAAAAAAAAAAAAAAGGTCAAAACAATGTTGATACAGATGGATCGACGCAGAAGTGCTACTATATTCTTTCTTTGCTTGTCTCTTGAGGGTGATGGTGATCTTGCTCTTTTAGCCTCTCGGCTACATGATTTTTTTTTCTTATTTCTAGATTCCCTTGTTCCATGGCATTGGCCTTTCTTTGACACTAAGGGGCAAGGGTCAATATGGTACCACACACATGCATTATAGTATATTGAACAAGATTTGACTCATTATTTCCCTTAATACAGTTCAATATCCATTGTTCTATATTAAGGTCTTCTTTAGTCTATCTGCTATCTCTGAAAACTTATGTGCATTTTACATTTGAGCCTCAGATTTCTCACATGTTAAGTGTTCTGTGATCCCATTCAAAAAATTGGTTTTCACCTTTTTTTGTGAAGGCTTCAACCGTTAATATAATCTTTTATCCAAGCATAATTCCTTTTCTAGATCTAATGGTCCTTTCAGTATAAATTTTTCATAGATATGGGAATTTGTAGACGGGACTTATAAGTTTAGGATTGGGTGCTTATATTTCTCTTTTACCTGAATTACCTTATCTTATACGGACATAGTAAATTACTGTATATGAATGAAATTTGTGTGCCATTAATGTAATCTATGAGCAAACCTTTAACTTGAATCATTATCAGTTAATATGACGATGGCTATGGTTCGGTACCCAAAAAAAAAAACGTTATATGGCAAGTTTTTTGAATATAGAGGCAAAACAAATCACATAAAATCTACAATTTTCTCAAGCGTCTAAAAATATGTTAATGTCGAAAGACTGCTTGTTGTGTTACTCATTTTCTGTAATTCCTCGATTAAAAGCTCTGTTTAACAAGTAATTATTGGCCTGAGCATTTAATTGTTATGTTTATATGTTGGCTTAGTTGTCATGAACTGTTCTGCTTTCTTCAACCTGAAAAACAAAACGAGAAAATATTTTAAGCAAGCAAGATATTTTAATGTCTACTACATGAAATTAAATGGTCGTTTCTGTCTCTCACATTGTTGGTCAAAAAAAGTTGGCTTCTAATGCTTATATAATAATGGGATTTCCACTATGAATGGCCAGTCTGATTCTTGTTATGCGAATCTACCTTTATTTATGCTTTTATACTTTGGTCGTACCCGCCAAGTGGTGTGCATCAGTGCATTTACTTTGCGGGTATGTATAAAAGTTGAACATGTCGTAATACTTTATATATTTTATAATATTGCTGTATTAGTAGTAGTGACCTAATGTAGAGTGAGGATACCTTTTCTTAGATTCAAAGCCAAGTCAAACAATACGACGGCAATACCTTCCAGTCTTGATCTGTATTTTCTTCAGCATTGAATTAAAATGTTCTTTTGCTGAATTATTAAATGGATAGTGAATTGCACCCTTCTTAGAGGTCAAATATTCAGACACGGCCAAGATGAAAGTAAATAATCTGTCGCTAAAATTTTATTATCGCTAGACTATTTGATAGCCAAGATTCATTTATTCATTATCTACATAATTTAATTTTCATGTATAATTAGTGACTTTGTCTATTTTCTTAGTCATGCACTCATGTGAAATATCTGAATACGATTTGGAATTACTTGAGAAATTTACAAACTCATTATCCAAAAATTTGACATTTAAAAGGTATGATTTTTTTTGCGAGACTTTGCTAGTTGTAATTAATTATGGACAAGTTGAATTTCACGTAAATATCTACCCTTTGTATTCCATGTGAAGGTAGTTGGGTGATTAATGCAGATTGAAAAAAATTTGCCTCATAGGGACAACCTAGCAACATGAAACAGAGGCCAAAACATTTCTTATTTTCTATAGGATCTTCAACTTGTGCATCCCAATTTTTATTTTTATTTTTTATTTTTCCCTCTTTTGATTTGTTGCAATTGATTTCCTGTACAGGTTAATACTTCTGTTCCTTTTGATGAGTTTCTTGTATGTCTGAAATAATTTCTATGTATCTTCACCTCCTATTCTGCTGTTAATGATTTGTTATTTCTTCACTCCACCAGTTTCAACTACTTTTAACTCATTATTGTTGTCTTTCCAATGCAGGTCGCTGAACAATGGGTGCTGGAGGCCGAATGTCTGTCCCTTCCAAGGGCAAGAAGTCAAAATCTGACGTCCTCCAACGAGTTCCACACTCAAAACCTCCATTCACACTCGGCGAACTCAAGAAAGCCATACCGCCCCGTTGTTTCCAGCGATCTATTCCCCGATCTTTCTCCTATGTTTTATATGATCTTACCATTGCCTTTCTCTTCTTCTATGTTGCCACCAACTATTTCCAAAACCTTCCTCAACTTCTCTTCTACCTAGCTTGGCCAGTCTATTGGATGTGCCAAGGCTGTGTGCTTACCGGTGTTTGGGTCATAGCACATGAATGTGGCCACCATGCATTTAGTGATTACCAGTGGCTTGATGACACTGTTGGCTTGATCTTACATTCTGCTCTCCTCGTACCATACTTTTCGTGGAAATTCAGTCACAGGCGCCACCATTCAAATACTGGTTCCCTGGAGCGAGATGAAGTATTTGTACCGAAACTCAAGTCTGGAATCCATGGGTTTGCCAAGCATCTGAACAATCCACCTGGCAGAGTTCTCATACTTCTTGTCCAGCTGACTTTAGGATGGCCTTTATATCTACTGTTCAACATCTCGGGGAGACATTATGAACGTTTTGCTTGCCACTATGACCCTCATAGCCCGATTTACTCGGATCGTGAGCGCATGCTGATCCTTGTTTCTGATGCTGGTGTTCTAGCTGTCACTTATGGGCTTTATTGTCTTGTGGCAGCTAAAGGACTTGCATGGGTTCTTTGTGTTTCTGGTGGTCCATTGCTTGTGGTCAATGGATTCCTAGTTTTGATCACTTATTTGCAGCATACCCATCCTGCACTGCCACATTATGATTCCACAGAGTGGGATTGGTTACGTGGAGCTTTAGCGACTGCTGACAGAGATTACGGGATTCTGAACAAGGTATTCCATAACATTACAGATACTCACGTGGCTCACCATCTGTTCTCAACAATGCCACACTATCACGCAATGGAGGCAACCAAGGCAATCAAGCCGATTTTAGGGAATTATTATAAATTCGACAGGACACCAATTTTTAAGGCAATGTGGAGAGAAGTCAAGGAGTGTATCTATGTGGAACCAGATGAGAGAGACCAGAACAAAGGTGTATTCTGGTATCGTAACAAGCTTTAGTTTTAGATGAAGAATAACTATACAAATACTGGAAGGGAATTTCTAGGCTATTGTTAGTGAAGATTTTGCTTTCCTTTCTGGATAAATTAAATTGGTCTTTGCTTGTTTTGTACTAAAATCGCAATATTACTTTGGTTGAATGAAATTTTGGATTGCACTAGTCGTTGAAAGATTTATGAGCACATTTTGATTTCCTGCATTTCATTTCCAGAACTGGTCTAGCCCCCTACATGCTTATAACTATAGACATGGGGGAGTCAGCCTACGTATTTTACGGTCACAAATTATCAATTAATTGATCACAATTTATTTAACGGTCATGAAGATGCAAATTATAGGTCACAATTATAAATTCAGTTATAAATCAACTTTTCAGGTCACATTATTTATTTAATGCAATTTATTCGTTTCGTTGGTCACAATCACTGAAGAATTGGTCCCAACCGCTCTTTATCTGACCTATTCTGCCCTACCACTACTCCCAACACTTGTATCACCACTATAGCCTCCAAATTGATCTTCTGTTCCACCACCACCATAGCGGTAGTTCGAAAATTAACTACTTCCAGTAACTTGCGGAGTAGTGAAATGAAAAAAATAAAATTTATCGACTGATCAGGTCTCATGACAGCACGATGCTCTAAATTAAAATTGTTGGCCTTTAATTGCTGCGACTTTTGTGGATAATCACTCACAAGATACAATGATCAGCAAATCACTTGTGCAACAATCACGAATGATTTTAGAACTCTCAAATGTACTAAAATATATATATATATATATATATATATATATAGAGAGAGAGAGAGAGAGAATTATAGAATATAAAAACGATGATTTCGTTTTTGATGTAATTTTTCAAAATCAGATGTGTTTATATAAGCAGAATGGATATAATTCTCCACTTATGATGCTCGGATTCGAGTACGGGTACATATCTAAATGTCGAATATTTGATTTTTTAAAATGTGGGATTCAGGAACATAGCTAAAAAAAGTTCAAATTTTAGACATAGGTACGTAGTACGTCTTTCAAACTTTAATTGTGTTTTTTAGATTTTATTTTTACTTTGATATTGTAGTATTTTTTGAATTAAAATGATGAATTGAAAAAAAAAATGATTAATTGTATTATTTGAGTATTTTATTAAACTAAAATATGTGTGGTGTATAAACAATTACATTATTAGTACACTCATATTCATATTAAAAATGGTGCAGGTTCCAATTAAACTCATTCGTATTAATGTTATTAAGCCCATCCATATCCATACTATTAGCCCAATAAAAAGGGCCTAGGCTCCAATTAATTCCAAATCTCTAATCTCATTCCCGCTGTCGCCTCTTCTTCACGATTTTAGGATTCCAAGAGAACATATACAGATAGCCAGCAATTTATTTTGGACCAAGGGCCGTCAACGCCAACCTTCTATATCTTTACAAACATCTTCCATCTTTAGCCAAACTACCACTAAGGTAAATCTACAAATTTTCTAAAGTTTCTTGTCGAGTCCAAATGAAATTCGAAGAATCTGACTCATATTTCGTACTAGTACCTATGTTAACACGGGTACTCCAGCCTGAATGGAGAATCCAAGCATCACTGGCCTCCACCATGATCCAAAAATATTTGCAATTCTTGATGGCTTATAGGTATGGGTTGTTAATAATGAGTTGTTGAAAAGCGCTCATATTATACCGGTTAATTTAACCTATTCAATAATTTCAAAGATGATTAAAATAAATAAAAATATTATTTTAGTTATTTCGTGAGATGTGACCAGAACGTTCAACCCCCCACACGAATTTCACACTTTCCACCAATTGAGCATTTCATCTAAATTAGTTATTTCTTTTACATTAAATATCTGACAGTCCCCTACATAAAAGAAATAAGATAAATATAAATATTATTCTGGAGTACAATATAAATCACGCAAATTTAGGTGTCTATGGATTTGAACCTTGATTTTGTATATTCTATTGAGTTTACTAATTGTAGAGTGAACTATGTGTTAAACTCTATGATTATAGTAGCAAACTGAAATAATAAACACACGCATGACTTCTAAAATAGTCATTGAGTTCTTGCGATTGTGTTCATTTCGACTGTGAACTTTTCCAGTTTCTTTTGGGGTGTGTTTGATTGAAGGTGGAATTCCACCTTCCAATTTAATGTTGTTTGATACCAATTTTTTTTCCCCTAGAAATGAAATTCCATCTTTGGTGCCACATAAGCCAATTTCTATGAATTCAAGGAATTGCAATTCTCGGTTACTGTAACATTTTTTTTATTTTTTTCGATTTTATTTATTTATTTTTACAATGGAAACAAATTCTAAGAATTATTGTAAAAAAATATTTCTCTTTAATTGACAATTTTAATGTAAAACAAGGCCAAACGAACACCAAAAGATAGATATTTTTTTTTATTTTTTTGACAATGGGAACAAATTTCATTCCCAATATCAGTATATTTTATCTCTTTAATTGATAATTTTTATGTAAAACAAAGTCAAACTAACACCAAAAAAATACTTTTATTTCAACATTTTTCACGTGAAAATTATACCAATCAAACACAATAATTTACAATTCCCAGGAAAATAATTTTTAAGCAATTTAATTCCTTGGAATTCGTTTTCTAGACAATTCAATTATATCTATGCAATCAAACGGGCCCTTAGTTCTCTAGAGAATGAATCGCAATTCTCATCAGAAGGATCCTTACTTCCATACTTAAATAGATGCTTTTTCAATGGTGCACTATATCTAAACACCCCACTGACTATGAGCTATAATAAACATTAAAAATATTAGCTCATTCTTTAATCAATACAATTGGTACTATGCATCACAGGGAGGGGTTTGGGATAAATCAAATGTAGTATGCCCATAGGCCACTCCAATAACTTTGTCGTCCCATTGAACCTTATCCATGAGATCTCCAATCATAAGGTTGGATTTCCGTTATAGGCGATCTAGTTTGTAATAGGTTTTAACCCTACCCTCATCGATATTTTCTGAACTAACTCTCTAACTAATCTTTTGATTAGTAGATCAGCAATATTATCACTTGACTTCACATAGTAAAAAGCTACAACCCTATTTTTAAGTAGCTGATGTACAGTATTGTGCCTCCTACGAATATGTCTAGACTTTCAATTTTAGGATAAATTTTGAGCTCTTAAAATAGCCGTTTGACTTTCATAGTGGAAGAAATAGCTGGAAGTGGTTTAGACCATAAAAGAACATCCATAAGAAAATTCTTTAACCATTCAACCTCCTCACTTGCTTTATCTAAAGCTATGAGCTCAAATTCCATATTAGACCTTGCAATATAGGTTTGCTTAGTGGATTTCCAATATACAGCATTGCCTGCAAATGTGAATACATATCCACTTGTAGATTTTCTTTCATTGGTATCGAAAATCCAATTAGCAGCATTACATCCCTAAAGTATAGCAAGAAATTTGATATAATGTATTCCCCAATTTGAATTATATCTCAAATACCTCAAGACTCGAATGAGAGCATCCCAATGTTCGTAGTTACTATTACTAGTATAGATGCTAATTCTACCGACCACATATGATATATCAGGTCTTGTATAATTTATGAGATACATAAGACTACCGATCATTCTAGAATATTCTAAAGCAAAAACACTAGGACCTGAATGTTTTCTCAAATGATGACTTGCATCATACGGTATTTTAGCAAAAATACAATTGTGTTGGTTAAACTTCTTAAGCACTTTTTTACATAATGTGATTCTGTTAAATTAATTCATTCGGAATGATTTACTATTTCGAAGTGCTTTTTTAAGAAATTAAACTAGTTCCCATAATCAGCATTATAAGCAAATTATCATTCCACAATTATTTTAAAATTTGCTTTATATGCATTTATCTGCTTCATTGATCACATAACCAGTAGATGTCAATTGCATCAAAATTTTCATGCCATTGCTTAGGAGTTTTTGTTTTAAGGCCATAAAAAGATTTTTTAAGTCAGCACACTTTATCATCAAGGCATTCTACAACATATCCCTCAGGTTGGTCAGTATAAATCTCATCTTCTAAGTCTCCATTTGAAAATGCAATTTTGACATCCATTTGATGTGTAATAAGATCATACAATGAAGCAGTTGCAATTAACATTCTAATAGATGTAATCTTAATAAGTATTAAAGAAGCTGCTTCTTCCTTTTGTCTATAGCTTTTAGCTACATGTCTTGTTTTAGACTTATTAATTGAATCATCATGTTTAAGTTTTTCTTAAACAACCATCTACATCCAATAGCCTTACATCATTAAGGTAAGTCTACTAACTCCCAAGTTTGAAATCATATTAGACATAATGAAATCATATTCCCTATTTATAGTTTTCTTTTAAACTATAGAATTTTGTGAAGACATAGCTTTACCAAAGATACTAGGATCACCCTCTATTCATAACATTAGAAAGTCAGAACCAAAATAAGTAGTGAACCTAAGTCTTTTGTTTCTCTCAATTTCAACTTCTTCTAATTCAGTAAGCTCTTCTAAAATCTTAGGAGAAAACATTAAAAGAGCTACTTGGTCCTTCAGACTTTTCTTTATAGGGAAATCCATTTTCAAAAAATTCGACATCTCTAGTTTTAAAAATTATATTCTTTTCAATCAAACTATTTTTAGAATCAATCTGTGTGCATTATTGTGAAGAGTATTTCCTATAAAAACACAATTAATAGTTTTTAAACCAAGTTTAGTTCTCTCAGGTGCTGGAATAGAAGTTTTAGCTAAACATTACCACACTTTAAGATATTTATATGAAGGTGTCCACACTTCCACATTTCATAAGAATACTTATTATTTTTCTCACTAGGAATTTTGTTAAGAATATAAAATGCAGTAAAAAGGCTTTCGCGCACATGTTAAAAGGTAATTCGAAAGAATTTAACATTGAAATGACCATATTCTTAAGAGTTCTATTTTTCCTTTTAACTTCACCATTAGATTGGGGAGGATAAGGTAGAGTAATCTCATGAATAGTACCATTATAAACACAGAATTTATCAAAATCACCAGTATATTCTCCTCCCATATCAGATCTTAAAATTTTAATAATTTTGCCTGACTATATGAAATAAATTTCGTCCTTGCTCTTAAGAAAATAAATGTAACAAT